AGAATCGCTATACTCGCGCATCGCTGGCCAGCAAGAAGGAACGACTTGAAGCCCTGGAGAAGCGTCTTGAGGTATGCATGTCCAGCAACAGGCTGGTGAAGTGTGATTCCGAGGCTGTGTTGTGTAACAGAGCACTTGTTTACTGCAATGCGCAAGAAGAACTCTGCACCCACTCAAATCGTTCAAGTCTTGTGAGGTTTCGTGTGTCGCGTTGAGCGACTAGCGTCATGTGCCTTCTCAGTTGCTGTGTGTTAGTTGACTTCTCGACTTCTCTGCTGACCAAAGACCCACTTGCAAAATTTCCCGAGGTCAGCGCTGCACCTTTGTTTTATTTATTTTTGTAAGAGAAACCGGTCCAACATCGGATGCAGCTTATATTCATCTTCATAGAACCACAAATGGAAAACTGGAATGTGATTTATATTATGTTTACCTCCCCGACAGGAGCACGGCGCTCTAAGCTACATGTTGCCATTGCGCGTTTGAAACCTTTCTTGCTGATTTGGTGGTGATGGTGGTGCTGTTTATGCTTCTGGTGCTGGTGGCAGTGGTTGCAGTTGCGGTTCTGCTGCTGCTGCTGCTGCTGCTGCTGCTGCTGCTGCTTTTGTTTGTACTTCTGCTGAGTTGATTGCTGATGCTGTTGCCGTGTTGTCATGATGTACAGAGCAATCGTCAAGCCATGCAGCGGCAAGCCAAGGCGGCCAGCAAGCTGGAGAAGAAACTCAAAGTCCTGGCCGGTGGTTATCAGGTAAGTGCTGGCTGCTTGCTTGGCTGCCGCCGACGGGGAGAACAATTCACTGTGTGTGCTTAGTACTCTAAAGTACCACAGGAATGCCCGCCAGCTGGATCCTTTCCTGGCCTCTTTTAGGAGGTGATGTAGATGTGGATGAGTCCCAACAGGGTACTCACACTCACAACGTGCATACCTTGCATTCTGTGCAGTCGTCTTCATTTCACATTCGAGCATCAGTGAGTTCCCTGCGGGAACAGTGAGCTGGTGTGTGGCTGGCCATGCACAACTCTGCTATACTCCGGCCTCCTGTACACTGTTTGACCTCAGTTACACTCAGCTAAATGGTTTGAATAATGGCCATCGGTCAACGAAGTTGATACTGCTGCTGTTGCTGTCGCTGACATTCATAATGTTACTGCTGTTGCTGCTGCTGTTGCGTGTGCTGCTGTTACCGTTGCTTGTACTGCTGGTGATGCTGCTGGTACTGGTGTTCTTACTGCTGTCGCTGCTGCTGTTGCTTGTGCTGCTGGTGGTTCTGTTGCTTGTGCTGCTGGTGGTTCTGTTGGTGATGCTGCTGTTTATGTTGCATGTGCTGCTGTTTGTGTTGCATGTGCTGCTGTTTATGTTATGTGTGCTGCTGCTGATGATGCCCGTGGTTTGTGTACAGTCTCGAACACAAGGCATCCTGAAGCAGATGAGCGAGACGCAAGATCAGGTCGAGGCCACGCTGATCGAACTGAAGACGTTCGAGGCGCTGCGCATGCAGGAGCTCCAGGCCATACCGAAACGACTTGGGGTGAGTTGGGTGGCTATCTGTACGACGATGTGTGCCCTAACTGTGTGGTTTGTGGTAGGGATATCAGCGAACGCACTGCGCAGCCCATCTGCGCAGGTCAGCCTGGCCCATCTACGCGCGGCCGACAAGAAAACTCATGAATGCTTTCATTTTTTTGCAAAATATATCGTGCGAAGAAGATGCACGGAATGGCTGAAAACTAGGCTGAGGAATAGTAGCATCCAGAGACTCTCAAACAAATTCATGGTCCATCGCTTCTGACAATGGCAGCGAAGACATCAGGGAGCTGATTGCAGCAACTCTCTACCAAGCGCGATGCTGGTTACTCACCAGGGCAGGGCGCTTCCATCGCGCAAGAAATGGCCGCGAGCGAGAAATGGAAGTCCGATTTTGGAACGATCCAACCAGGGAAATTCCTTGAAAATTGGCCTGAACACCTCTCATACTGGTGTTTCACGATGTGCAAACTTTCAGAGAAATCGACGGGGGAGAACGTGGTGAGTACGTGGGTCCTCGAGTATCGCGTATGATTTGAATGGTCGCGGGGACAGAAGAACAGTAATTTTACGACTCCCAGCGGTGCAAACAGACCGCGGCCATGTTTTCTCTGTCGGCCGCGATCACGTTCAAAAAATCGATGACGCAATGCATGCGCAGAGGCCTGCGCAGTGCGTTCGCTGACATCCCTATTTGTGGTGTAAAGGCCATGCTCACGCCACACGTGACGTGCTGTATGGTGTAAAGGCCATGCTCACGCCACACGTGACGTGCTGTATGGTGTAAAGGCCATGCTCACGCCACACGTGACGTGCTATATGGTGTAAAGGCCATGCTCACGCCACACGTGACTTGCTGTATGGTGTAAAGGCCATGCTCACGCCACACGTGACGTGCTGTATGGTGTAAAGGCCATGCTCACGCCACACGTGACGTGCTGTATGGTGTAAAGGCCATGCTCACGCCACACGTGACGTGCTGTATGGTGTAAAGGCCATGCTCACGCCACACGTGACGTGCTGTATGGTGTAAAGGCCATGCTCACGCCACACGTGACGTGCTGTATGGTGTAAAGGCCATGCTCACGCCACACGTGACATGTTAGTTTACTTTTTCGTCCTGGCTAGCTGGCCTGTCTCTGTTCGTCTCGTCCTGGCTAGCTGGCCTGTCTCTGTTCCTCTCGTCCTGGCTAGCTGGCCTGTCTCTGTTCCTCTCTTTCTGGCTAGCTGGCCTGTCTCTGTTCCTCTCGTCCTGGCTAGCTGGCCTGTCTCTGTTCCTCTCGTCCTGGCTAGCTGGCCTGTCTCTGTTCCTCTCGTCCTGGCTAGCTGGCCTGTCTCTGTTCCTCTCGTCCTGGCTAGCTGGCCTGTCTCTGTTCCTCTCGTCCTGGCTAGCTGGCCTGTCTCTGTTCCTCTCGTCCTGGCTAGTTAGCCTGTTTCTGTTCCTCTCGTCCTAGCTAGCTGTCCTGTTTCTGTTCCAGAAACATCAAGACCGGGTTTGATATGCACTGCAGTACATGTACCTGCACTGTGCTGTGTTTTCTTTGCACTAGTCGGTACAGGATCAAATGGGGCGTTGTCCACCACAGGTTCCGGATGTACGGCTGACAGTACACGTGTACATCATAAAAATGATGTCAACTTGAAATTCTGCCTGGATGGTCCTCAAAGTCAAGTTGCACAGTCTTGGGGGGGGGGGGGGGTTACCGTATTTCCCCGTAAGTTAGTACGTACTAACTTTCGAACTTAGCAGCCACATGAGTACTAACTTTCGGGGGTGGTTCTATCTTTCGGGGAGTACTTTTTTATCGGGGGTAAATGACACGCAGTGGGAAGCCTGCGCAACTCTAGTGTCCGTGCATATGATGTATGTACTGTACGGTGTCTGTACATGTAGGACGGGTACGAACTTACTATCTTTCGGGGGGAACTGTCTTTCGGGGTGATAACCTCGGCAGTGGAAAGTGTATTTTTTATAAGGGGGTACTATTAAAGTCATTGGGGAGAACTAACTTACGGGGAAATACGGTATGTACTATTGTTGGTACATGTACCAAGAGTTTATCACCCCAAGAGTGTGCAACTGCCTGCACAACCTCTCTGCAGTGCTGTGACGGGCGTCGACGGCAGAACTTTACATCACGTGACATGGTTCAAAAGACACCGGCAAACAGTGCAAAGTGACCACAAGAGAGTTGTAGCTTCGGGTACAACTCTCTTGTGGTCACTTTGCACTGTTTGCCGGTGTCTTTTGAACCATGTCACGTGATGTAAAGTTCTGCGTCGGCCGTCCAGCACTGAGAGAGGTTGTGATTGCACACTCTTGGGGTTATGTACTCTTGCTGGTACCATTGCTCGTAGAAGACGTCTGTGTCATTGTGTGTGTATTCATTGCCACGATGTGCTCCCTTGCAGACCCTCAAGGAAGAGGTGACGCAGCAGCGCGAGCGCGAGATGGACCTGCAGCGTCGCTACGGCGACCTGCTCCTGGAACGCGACTCATTGCTACGGGCGACCGGCGCAGCGACGGCATAGTTGCCACGCCGACTAGCAACAAGCATGCCAACGCCCGCCGCGCACCTGTCCTTGTGTGTGCACTTGTGCAATCAGAACGATTCCTATCTTATTGGTACGACCAGTGGAAGAACGGATGCATCCGTGTGTTGAGTGTTGTCTGCATCGCGTGCCCGTCGCCTTCAGTAGTGGTTGTTCATACCGTTGCTGTTGTGTCTGTGCTCTGCGTTTGTTCGCAAACTCCGTGTGGTGTATTGTGTTGTCGTGGCCGGCCGTGCTTGCCCGTGCCCCGAAGAAAAGCCCTCCGATGTTATCGCAGCGCAAGGAGTGCAAACTAGTAGGACATCCCAGGGCCCCGGCTCTGCCCTCACTGGACGGGGTTTCGTCTAAATTTGGCAATTTGGTCTAAATTTGACCCTCGCTTGTGTGTTTTTGATAGCATGTTTGAAGAGGTGTGTTTTACACAATCTTTTCATTCTGCTACCCGTTGGTTGCCTTTCCTGTCGTTGCTACTGTTCTTAGTTCTGCGGTGGTGGTGTTTTTTCTACACAAATCTCTGTGAGTGCGTTGTGTGAATTGAATTCCGCTGGTTTTGTTGTGTACCACCCGCTCGCCCTTAATTGTGAACTTGTACGTTGACTTTGCTGCGAGTACTAGTACTGCGGTGTTTGCATGTGCTGGGCTGGCAGTATACATAGGCCGCCATGTCCAGCCACCACCGATCCCACCCCTTCTTTCCATGTACACTTATGCTCTGCAGACGCTGCCTCCCGTGCATGCGTGCTGTGCAATCTATTATGCAGTATGGTAGTTGTTGTGGCTGGCCGCACCTCTACCGCCCCGCTCTCTCTCTCTCTCTCTCTCTCTCTCTCTCTCTCTCTCTCTCTCTCTCTCTCTCTCTCTCTCTCTCTCTCTCTCTCTCTCTCTCTCTCTCTCCCCCCCCCCCCCCCCTCCTCCTCTGTTGCAGTTACGGATGGTACACCATGACTTCTCTCTGTGACTGCACGTGTAAATAGCAAGCTCTCTCTTTTCGTAACACATCGTCAACATTGCATATAAGGAATCTCCTTGATACATTCTACTTGTGTGAAGCATACTGCCCAGTTGTTTGTTGGTCCTATTCTGGTAGCCAGTTGCATGCTTGGCCGGGGCCGGGGAAGGGCAGGTCTTGGAGTAGTTCTCTTTCTGTTCCTGGTGACGAGAAGTTAGTTTGCATCCAAGGGTTATAAATCACCACCGGTATTACTACTCCTTGGCTTGCATGCAGATTTATAGAGTTATGCAGCTTGCACGTGAAGTCGTACAAATAATTAGGGTCCCTAGGCCCTACTCCCTAGCTCAAGTCAAACACGGCCTCTTTGCTGCATATATTATCACTTGAACAATCAACTGTTCACCAAATTTTCACGCCTGGCCCATCATCGGGGTAAAAACCGGAAAATGGCATTTAAAAATTTATGTTTTTTTTTATAAAACACCAAGAGTTTATAATGTACTCTTGGTACCATGTAGAGTAGAACCCGGGTTAGGGATCCACCTAACTCTGCGCGGACATAGCTGGACTCAGTTGTACAGGGATGGGCAAAAAGGTGTGTAAAACGACTTTTTGTGCGTAGATGGACCCCGGAAAAATAGTTTGGAGCGAAAAAAATTACGGCTTCCTCGGAAACCGAGGCCCCCCCCCCCTTGGGCCGGAAATTAAATCCCGGTATAAGGATCCCCCGCACAATTATGTACATGCCAAGTGACCCCCGGGCTCCAAAGGATCACCCGCACAATGTACGTGCCAAGTGCCCCCCCCCCCCCCCCGCGGGCTCCGATCCCTAATCCGGTGTGACCCTTAACCCGGGTTCTACTCTACCAGTCAGCATTAGACTTGCCCTATCTCGATCAAAACTTTGAGATCACTGAACATGTTCATTGTCATGTGTGTGTGTGTGTTCTCCTGCATGGCATGTCCAGCGATGAACAAGTGATGTGGGATGGGCGCATGCTGCAAGGTCCAGTTGAAGTAGAAAGGATAATATAATTGACCACATGCACTCGTGCCATCTGCTCCTCTGAGTGACAGTAATTATTTCTTGTACACCCACACGCAGGTTGCTACAATGCTGCTCACTGAAATCCGGCCGCGTGAGTCAAGTTGGCGTCGTACACCTTTTCGCAGCCCAGTGTTCGCGAGTCTAGGGCCATGCAACACCCGGCATGTAGATCTACTTGAGAAACTCGACTGGATTTCACTTGAGCAGTACTGTACTAACATACTTCACTTGAGCAGTACTCTACTAAAATACTTCACTTGAGCAGTACTCTACTAACATACTTCACTTGAGCAGTACTCTGCTAACATACTTCGAAGTAACATTACATGTACTAGCAAGATCACTCGTCGACAAATACAAGACTAGCTCCATAAACTCCCAGTCTATCTCCGGGGTAACTTACGGAATCTCGCTGCATGCAATGTAGTGCATAAACACCTGCTGAGTTACACGCCAGGCCAGGTAAACATGTTTGCTGCAAGTCGGTTTCCAGTTTTCTACAAGACTAGTATTCGCAAACGGACGAGTTGTGAAGGGCAGCTATTCACATGGCTACAGTAGGGACATATGTACAGACAGAGAGGCAGCTTGGCCATGAACACAGAAACATGGCATGGACAGTATTTCACGTATAGAGAGAGTATAGCTGAGAGTATGTACACAGGTGACAAAATGGCTATATACAAGAGGAATGTACTGATGTCTATTCGCACGCGGTCGACGCACAAGGAAGAGCCAGTAGCACGTGGGAAGTGAGAGTGGCACTGCGGTAATAGTTTGATAGACTCGGGCCGGAGCGTACTGGTGGTTAGGAGAGCGTGCTGCCGCCGCCTTCGCTCTGCAGCTGCTGGTACTCCTGCAGGCGCTGCGAGATGCGCTGCGTCATCTTGAGGAACTTGTCCACGCAGTACGTGACGCACTGGGTCTGCACAACAAGAATACACAAGAACACACACGCACACACACGCACGCACACACACACACGCACACACACACAGCAGCAGCAACACAAGCGCCGCGGGTGTCAACGGCGTTGCCAGCGACGAGTACGGATGCGGAAAACTCGGCCTCTAGCCGAGTCTCACGCGAACCGTGAATTTGACCCATTAGCGCAGCACACCGTACCGCGTACCCTATCCAAATGCATGACCTTTAGGCTGGGATCTATTGATCTTGTCAATAGTGCTGTATTGACACGGCTAAGTGTCTCATTAGCCAACACAAGAGAGAGAGAGAGAGAGAGAGAGAGAGAGAGAGAGAGAGAGAGAGAGAGAGAGAGAGGTGAGAGAGAGAGAGAGAGAGAGAGAGTGTGTGTGTGTGACGGCATGCTGTGTTCCCGCGATCAGTATGATCTCACCTCTGTCTTTGTGACCGTCCGCGTAGAGAAGTCTGTGCAGCACGATGTGAAGCACTGCTCCGATAGGCGATTGTACGTGTTCAGAAAGTCTTTCATCTGAAGGTAGAACAGCATGAATACACACGCACACATGTACCCATCCACAAAACGCACACACACACGATTGATCAATTTCCCCATAAATATTATCTCCTTTCAAAGGTGACAAGCAAATCCCATTGGGCAGATTGTTCCAGGGTCATTATTTTATAAGATATTATTCCACAGTCACAATGAAATAATGAGAATAAACATGTGATGCGGGCGATTTTAACCAGCCATGGTGCCATACAGCTGTTTCGATCATACACCTAGATCTCGTTAGTGAAGGTCGTGAGATCACTGGATGGCCAGGACTTATGAATAGCACTTGCTATACAGCGCATTGTAGTGAAAACGAAGGAGCGCAGTAGCACGCTCGGAGGTGACATAACTCATACTTGTAAGACTTAGTGCTAATACGTGGCAAGATCACACGACACGTGTAAGACCCTGCTAACATGGATAATATCAAGAGTACATAACCCCCAAGAGTGTGCAACTCCAGCTATGGGGTCTGCGACGGCAGAACTTCACATCACGTGATGAACCCGTACACATTATTTGCACTCTGTGCAAGATAGATACAGGGTTGTACGCAACCCACCTTTGGGTACAACTCTCTTGTGGTCACTTTGCACTGTTTGCCGGTGTCTTTTGAACCATGTCACGTGATGTGAAGTTCTGCCGTCGCAGCACAGCATAGAGGTTGTGCAGGCAGTTGCACACTCTTGGGGGTTATGTACTCTTGATAATATCCATGTCAGCACTCAGCAGTATGTTAATAGTCACATGTACTACTGTAGTAGTAATCATGTGTGTGCACAAGATCACAGCACACTGGAAAACACATTGAAAGTTTGGACGTTGCATTCGCCCGATGTTACCTCAAAGCGCGAGATTTTGCGCCACTTCATTTTCACAGTGATTCTCTGTATAGAAGAGTGCTACTCACACAGGTTTTAGTCATTCACTACTCTCACAACCTTCACCAATTAGAACTGTACGATGGAAATAGCTGTATGCAGGACTTGATACCAGTATCTACTGTAACTTGGAGCCACGTTGCTGGTGTGGTGAATGAGGTCAGCTGGAGGGAGAGCATGTCGTGGGGAGATGGGACTACCGCAGTGTATTGTATTAAAGCCTGTTTTGAATACAAGCCTGACTTTCTAGGTACACTGTAGACACTTGACTGGTTTTAGTGTTGTATACATGGAAATGCCTGGTTTGAATAAAAGCCTGATGGGAAAGCCAAGCCCTGATGCTGGCTTTTACAGGAATAAGCCCGGCTTGAATACGTGACATTACGGTAAGTGATGAACGGACTACGGGCCGAAAAAAAGCTGCTCACCCTCCTGGCCTTCAGCGTATTTTTCATTTACTTGGATGGTTCACTACGCAATACCCATACATCTTCACGACACTCCAAACGGTCTCTGGGCTATACCAATCACTATTTGTCTGTTTTGCCTGCAGTAACTACATTCCTGAAGATGGACCTTGCCCGAAAGTTCGAATGATTATCTCTTTTTCTTTTAGTGATTGGTGTAGCCCAGAGACCGTTTGGAGTGTCGTGAAGATGTATGGATACTGTAGAACGGGTAATTTTAGCGACGTAAAAACCCTAGCGAATTTAGCGATCGACTCATTTTCGCTTAAGTTTCAAGTCGCTAATCCGTTGAGACATTAGTAGTGCACTGGTGACCCGTGAGTAAAATCGCTGCAAATCGCTAAAATAAAACGTCGCTAACCGGTTGACAATGGGAAACCGCTAAAATTAATAGTGGCTAAAATTACCCGTTCTACAGTATAGTGGATGGCTACGGTGGAGTCTTCGCATTTCGAGAAATGGGTTGGCTACATGTACCACGTAAAACTGATCATGGATGAGCGGCTGTGATACCTGGCCTGTAGCCTGGCATTGCTCACAGGGGTAAGACCAGGGTCAGATGAGAGCCCATGGGAGCATACATGATGCTCTCTCGTTGATTTCCACCGAATTTCGTGGTTATTGTATTTTTGTAAAGCCCTTCAAACCGGGTTGCTTCACCGTCCTAAGCCAAAGGCACATACATGTACGTGCACTGACCCACGTCAGAAGTATGTCACCTGTGGCACAGTCTTAGCCTACTCTTAGGCAATCAAACGCGAGCAGCAAGGCAACGTATTAAAGGTACATGTGATGTTAATTTTTTTCCTATTGAATAACACGACCCTTAGTGATAGATCGGCGCCACGACAGTTCAATCCAATGAAATCAACACAAGCACACTGTATACACATGACTGATGATTTGTTACAGATTCAGTAGAGAAGCACTAAGTCTACGTTACGCGATGTTGATGGAAGAGAGAGAGAGAGAGCCCAAGCCCCGACTAACCTGACGCAGTTCCATATCTGCTTGTTGTTCTGCTGACATAAGGGCGGCCATTGTGCTGCTATTATACTGGTCACAAAGTTGTAACAAACTTCCAAACGTTTATGAAAACTACGTGAAAACCTTTTGCGAGCTAGCGCTATAATAATCTTCTTTTGATCTTTCTCGTTTTGATTTTTTTGTTTGATTTTTCGAGCGCTTGCACTTTGCAGCCCCGGATCCCACGCTTGGTCGGTCGCCATTTTCATCTCCAGGGTGACGGCATGCGCTGCCATGGTATGATGACGTCACAGCCCCCAAATGATCCTTTTTTTCTTTTTCTTTTCGTGTGGCGGGTGTTTTGACTTGCTGGCATGTTGCGCTTGCACTTGCCTGTCGATGTCGTCAACCGAGCAAGTGAGCGAACAAAATCAAAGAGTTTGTTTTTGGCGAAGAATCACCGGCAGCATCGTGGGTATGGCGACTCGTACTCGTGCACACGGTAGAACAGTAGAGTTTCTATTATTATGGACTTCTTGATCGGGCCAGTGATTAGCATAGCCGGTCGCAAAGAGCATTCGGACTGGGACCGCTACACGGGCCATGGAAGCACTTGGCAAGGACATTCTGAGAGTGACGCTATCGGCCGCTAGCAGGGCGACGGGCACGGACACGGAGGAGCAGATAGGATCGGGCGTAGCGAGAAGAGACACACCTGAGCGAGCAGGTGGCACTGATAGCTCGGGAAGCGTTCAGGAAACACCGGGTAAGTTCAGTGGGATCTTTGAGACCTGCAATGTTTGTGATCATGGTCTCATTGCAGCCGGTTGTGATGGCACGGACTACATGACATTGTATTACCTCAATCATCACAGATACAGTGTAGCGAGCTGGTATGAGCAAAACGACTCCGAGTCTCGTTATACTGTGTGAGGGGAAATCATTTAAAATACCTCTAACCCTCATCCAGCTAGCTAGGTAGTACTAGTAGGCAGATGAATGAAACTCTGTGACAGGATGGTAGCCGCACTGTCGGACGGTACCCGACAACAGGTCCGAGCTGATCCACTGGCAATGCACAAGTTCAGCCCGAAGACAAATACGTAGGCTAGAACCGTAATACATGTACAGCATACCGGGGGTTTTTTCTCCCCAGTACAAGCCGCACGTTTATAAAACACCAGTAATTTACCCCAAAAAACACGCTGCGGCTTATACTGCGATGGTCAAAGGAACTGTGAAATGCAGGGTACGAGTACAGGTCTGCATCTCGTGACAAATAATCTGGGTGCGGCTTTTGCCCCAGTGCGGCTCTGGAAAATGCGGTAGTATAGTGCCCACAAATGATACGAGCACAGTTCCAACGAGTGAATTCCGACAACACGGATAGACAAGTAACAGCTTGGCACGGCGTCCCTTGCGTACAGTCGTGTAGGACACACTCACATCTGATCAGAACTGTGCTTGTAAGTTGGGGCTTTGCGACCAAGGATGGCACAGTGCCAAATATCTACACGCTGGGATACTCTGCACAACACGAAAAAACTCTAGCTCTGTTCCCTCCGGCCTCCATTCACTTCTTGACTCTCTGATATCGTTCATACTTTCCCCGTAGTCCCCAGTTATCTACCGCCCCCCTCCCCCCCCCCCCCCCCCCCCCACCCACCCACCTGCGTATTTTCTCTAATATTTTGTCTCTGTGGAGCGCTTGGGTCGCAATGAAGCCAAGACCCTATGGTCGGTCAAGCTGCCCCTGCCTCTCCCCCACTCAGGCCTACCATTCCATATGTCTCATCGCTGCCTTGCTGCGGTGTGACGTCAAATGGTGTGTGTGTGTGGTAAAAAAACAAAAACAATGTCAGCTGTGGACATGCCGGGGAGGTCAGCACAGTGCACGCCTTTTGATCGCATGCCTGGCGGAACTGGTCTGCATGGTGGTTGCATGTCTCAGTACCACTGTCACTAGTGTCAGTGGTGTGCACTATCTGATTCTATACTATCTGGCTAATATTGGGTCACGGTTCAGGCACAGAGCACCGTCGTTGGAGGTGGTCCGGCCGGAGGGGGGTCCGGGGACTCTCACCCAGGAACATTTTGAAATCAGGGTGCAACATCCTGCATTCTGGGCACTTTTGGCATTGTGCTAAAAAAAGCGGTCCGGCACGCCCCTGCAGTTAGCCTCATAACTCGTAACATATTGCCCTTCCTCTTATACAGGACTGCAGTTGGCTGACCGCCCGAGTTCAAGTTATTGTTCTGTGTGTCACTGTCTGCTAGTCACCAATCGACATACCACAGAGCCCCAGGGATCAGCACTGAAAGCTGGCGGAGATATCTCCGCATCTCCTATTCTGGTCACTGCCAAGGAGCGTGAAGTCGAGCATAAGTCACAGCCAAGCTCTGATGTGAAGCACGCACATACAGACCGCATGGAGCTGAGAGAGTCCACTGCGGCGAGCTCTGGTCTTGATCCAAGAACTCGTAAGCTGGCACGCTGAAGAAGGGAGTTGGGCAAAGTGTGGCTCTGTGTGTGTGTGTGTGTGTGTGTGTGTGTGTGTGTGTGTATGTGTGTGTGTGTGTGTGTGTGTGTGTGTGTGTTGAGTGTTTGGAAAACTGATATACATATAT